CACGGTCCAGAACATTTCAGTTGGGACGAAGTGGACAACAGAACAAATGACGCTGGTGAAGACGTGCCATCTGAAGAAGCCACCGTCGAACAAGAAACTCTACTCAGTTTGAGAAGGGAAACGGCGAAGCTCTTGATGAAGTAACTACCACTGATGTGACTGTTACCGACGATAGGACATTTCCTGATGAAGCAGATGAACCCCACGTGAAGCAGAAGTCAACGAGACGGAGACCAGTACGGAAGAAGATACGTCCCGTTAAATTAAGAGACTTTGTTGAATTGTAATTTTGTGTTTGTAATTCTGTACATTTAATTAAGTTATTGTTAATTGTTTATTGGTTTAATGTAAGTGGCTATTGTTCGAGACGAACAATACTAAGGAAGGAGCAGTGTTACGACAGCGGGGGTCACGTGACGCTAGTAACACGTTATATTCTCGAACGTTCACGTCCCTTCCTGAAGCCTCGAGAGGTTACTAGATATGCGGTATTCTTGTATATATAAGACTGGTAAGAAGTGACGGTAACAATGTAATGTAATTGAGCTGCAGACAGAGATAGAGACGTTATTGTTGGTTCGAGCGCGTGTGTCGTTCGTTGTGAATTATAGCGTTTGTTTAACTTATAGTGTGACCGTTGAAATTAAGTGAATTTCAAAGTTGTATTGAGAAAGAATAAACCAGTTTTATTTAAGAAAGGGCTTGTGTCGCTAAAGTTTCATCGGAAAGAAATTATACGGAAGTTAACTAATGACCGGAGGCGTAACAGTATATATTTATACTATTATTATCAATGTAGCTATCAGATACAAATGAAGAAGTTAAAAAAATTCACAAAATTCTTTCAGATTTCTTACTAAAAGATTTTTTAATTTATTAGAAACAAAAGTGAAAGTGCCACAGGTAATTATAGTACAATAATTGTTATTTTGGTGCTTATTACAAACACTGCCAAAAGAAAAGGCACGCTTATTGAAGTTCTCCAACCTCCAAAACAAAGTGACATAGGTACATGTGATGACAAAAATATTAAGATTTATTGCTAATAAATGTATGTTGTTAATGTTTTATCTACAGATCTCAGAAATGTCATTACAATCATCTTATGTTGTTAGCATTTTATCTATAGATCTCGGAAGTGTTATTACAATCAACTCAATACAGTAGCTTCTATCTGATCTTAACCTGAAAGTCTTACATTTGAGAAACAAAAACTTGGAATAAAACTTTATATTTATAGAAAGGTAACTATCATACCTGACCATGACATCAAAACTTTGGACTTAGCAGAATCTTTAATAACAAACATAAGTCATCATACCTGACCATGACAAACCTTTAGACTGAGAAGGATCGTTAATAATAAATGACACTCATCACACCTGACCATGACAAACCTTTAGACTGAGAAGGATCGTTAATAATAAATGACAGTCATCATACATGATCCTGACACCAAACTTTAGACTGAGAAGGATTATTAATAATAAATGACAGTCATCATACATGATCCTGACACCAAACTTTAGACTGAGAAGGATCGTTAATAATAAATGACAGTCATCATACATGATCCTGACACCAAACCTTTAGACTAAGCAGGATCATAGATAAAAAGTGAGCTATCACATCAAACCCTGACATCAAGCCCATAGCCGTTAGACTTAACAAGATTATTAATACTAAAGGTAAGTCATCATACCTGACCCTGACGTATAACCTTTACACTTAGCAGGATCGATAGTAATAGTTACAGAATCAGAGTAACAAAATACTTACTTAGCACTGTGCATGCGACTTTTCTTGTTCAGTCTGTTTATAATGGATTTTAGAAGGTTCAAAACCTTTGTCAGATTTATCTGTAGTTCTTTCTGCAAAGCTGGCATTAGTTGCCATAATCTGTGAAATATTACATAATTGTGCTCAGATTTTGTAACATAGAAAGAATAATTAATATGCTTGAAAAATTCTGCAGGTAAGTAATAAGTTAACATAAATTTAAATTATTAACTGTATGACATAAACAGAATAAAACACTAGTATATTTGTAAACATATTATTTGCATTGTTTTGACAAATTCTATTGTTAGGTGAGCTCTTTTGTATTATTTGAAAAAATTATACTGCACAGTCCACTCCCTTAATGATAACAAGTACATTTCTCCAAAAAGTTTTACAAGATAGCTTAACTAATGCTCACTTAGAGGCCTAAGTTCACAGGAAATGTTAATACAACAATTTCATAGACCTGCTAATTTCTTGCATTCTAAATAGCACAGGGTTCATCTTTTATTACGTTGCTGAAAAAGTGAAGTGTCTAACAAACTCAATCAAGTATTAACTCAGTAGTTCAAACTCAATGTAAGCTAATAACAGAATCATTAATCACATATTCTAGCTTTATATTTTATACGGATCAAACTGTTGGAGAAAATTAAAAACGTTATAATACATGTGATGCATATCTGCTTGTTTGTTAAAATCCCGTAGAAATTCTTTCCTTTCTAGATTAAAACCAGTTAATTGTTTCTCGATACAACTTTTTGTAATACACAGACTTTCCACAGCCACTTTAAACTTAACTAATTTTAAAACACACAGTGAATCGCACAATTTACTTACGGTGCCTGCTTGCTGTTCGCTTGACTCAGTTATTTATCTTTTAAATCAATCTGCATATCTATCTATCTCTGATTTTATTTGCCGGGCTTATATACTAAAAAAGAGGGCGCCTGTAACAAACTCGGGCCTCCCCGATAATTCACGATCCTTCCAGAAACTCCAGCGTCGCGCGACTTCCGCTGTCGTAACACTACCCCTTCCTTAGTATTGTTCGTCCCGAACGATAGCCACTTACATTAAACCAACTGAAATAACCTGGACCGTGATAACTCCAAAGCCTGTTGGCATGTACCACCTTAGGTTTACCTCGCCGACCACATTTTATTCGGAAAGTCACGTCTGAGAGACGATCCACAATGTCATATGGGCCTTCCCATGGAGAAGACAACTTAGGAGACTTCCCTTTGGTCTTCCTCGGATTATACAACCACACCTTGTCTCCTGGTACAAAGCTGACTTCGGTAGATCTCTTATCATAACTCAGCTTCATGGAATCAGTATACGTTTTCAAGTTTGAATGCACTTGATGATGAATATCATCCATCCTTTCAGATAACACTTTCATGAACTGTGACACATTTTCAGGCAACTCTTCGTAAGATGGTCGTCCTATTATCAGGTCCACTGGCAACCGAAGTTTCCGACCAAACATCAGCTTTGCTGGAGTGTATCCAGTGGCTTCATGCTGTGCTGTTCTATAGGCCATCAACAGTGGAGGGAGTAAGGCATCCCAGTCATATTGGCAGCTATTACAAAACTTTGACAATTCCTGTCCCAGTGACTAATTGTACTTTTCTACTATTCCATCAGACTGTGGGTGAAGTGGCGTTGTCCTGGTCTTTGATATGCAAAACAACTTGCAGCATTCATGGAACACAGCTGATTCAAAGTTACGGCAGTTCGTATGGCATACCAAACCTGAAGAAGAAATCTCTAATAGCCGAAGCTACAGTTGTAGCTTCCTGATTTGGTATTGCATATGCCTCAGGCCAATTGGTGAAATAATCCATTACCACAGAAATGTACTTGTTTCCAGCACGAGTTCGGGCAATAGACCAGCAATGTCAATGGCTACTCTTTCTATTGGTGTGCCAACTTGATATAACTTTATTAGAGCACGTCCCTTACGCTTGGGTCCCCTTTTAGCACAACATGTATTGCAGGTCCTGCACCATACTTCCATATCTTGCCACATACCTACCAAATAAAATCTCTGCCGTAGGTGACTCAATGTCTTCTTAACTCCAAGATGTCCTCCTGTTAAACTATCATGGGATTGACGCAGCACAACTTTCTTAGTATAACTGTTTGCCAGGTCATCACTTTCCCATCTGCACTATTACCAGTATACCTTCACAATCAGTCTTTCCTCTAGTTAAAACAAATCCCACTTTTACCAGTATACCTTCATAAAATCCCACTTTTACCAGTATACCTTCACAATCAGTCCTTCCTCTAGGTAAAACAAATCCCATTTTTACCAGTATACCTTCACAATCAGTCCTTCCTCTAGTTAAAACAAATCCCACTTTTACCAGTATACCTTCATAAAATCCCACTTTTACCAGTATACCTTCACAATCAGTCCTTCCTCTAGGTAAAACAAATCCCACTTTTACCAGTATACCTTCACAATCAGTCCTTCCTCTAGTTAAAACAAGTCCCACTTTTAACAGCATACCTTCATAATTAGTCTTTCCTATACCTAAAACAAATCCCATTTTTACAAGTATACCTTTATAAAATCCCACTTTTACAAGTAATCCTTCACAATTAGTCCTTCCTATATGTAAAACAAATCCCACTTTTACCAGTATACCTTCACAATTAGTCCTTCGTCTTGGTAAAACAAATCCCACGTTTACCAGTATACCTTCACAATCAGTCCTCCCACTAGGTAAAAGAAATCCACTTTTACCAGAATACCTTCACAATCAGTCCTTCCTCTAGGTAAAACAAATCCCACTTTTACCAGTATACCTTAATAAAATCCCACTTTTACCAGAATACCTTCATAAAATCCCACTTTTACCAGCATACCTTCACAATTGGTCCATCCTCTGAGTAAAACAAATCCCACTTTTACCAGTATACCTTCACACTTAGTCCTTCCTATACGTAAAACAAATCACACTTTTACCAGTATACCCTCACAGTTGGTCTTTCCTCTAGGTAAAACAAATCCCACTTTACTGATACCTTCAGAATTGGTTCTTCCTCTAGGTAAAACAAATCCCACTTTTACCAGGATACCTTCACAATCAGTCCTTCCTCTAAGTAAAACAAATCCCACTTTCACCAGTATACCTTTACAATCAGTCCTTCCTCTAGGTAAAACAAATCCGACTTTTACCAGTATACCTTCATAATTAGTCCTTCCTCTAGGTAAAACAAATCCCACTTTTACCAGTATACCTTTGTTTTTAAGTTGTACTGAGCAACTGTCTGCCATTAGGTCGTTTATACACCATTCACAATACACATAATGATTAGTTTAATATGTATATATTTTGCCAGATGAGTTTTGGATCACATTGCTTCTTCATGAACTTGCATTTGCCAATATCTACTCTTCAGATCCAAAGAAATTGTGAATCAGATAAAACATCCAAAGTAAAATTAATCTTTTGCAGTTGGTGTGAATCATTTTTTTATTTCATTTACTTTCTGCAAGTCCACACAAAACACTATGGCACCTTCTTCTTCCTCACAAGTTTATTATTGTTCCTTCAGGGCTTGTATTTCCCAGTATGTTTCTCAACTAGGAGTTATCTAGCCAATTAACATATTGTTACGACAGCGGGGGTCACGTGATACTAGTAACACGTCATATTCTCGAAGGTTCGTGAATCCTCGAGTGTTTACTAGATTTGCGATAATCTTGTATATATAAGACTGCCAAGAAGTGACGGCAACAATGTGGTTGAATTGCAGACAGAGATAGAGACGGACAGTTGGGTTGAACGCGTGAGTCGTTCGTTGTGAATCATAGCGTTTGTTTAACTTATAGCGTGACCGTGGAAATTAAGTGAATTTCAAAGTTGTATTGAGAAAGAATAAAATAGTTTTATTTAAGAAAGGACTTGTGTCGCTAAAGTTCATTCGGAAAGAAATTATATGGAAAATTAACTAACGATCAGAGATGTAGCAACATTATGAAACTACATTTCCTGTATAAATCCTAACTAAAATTGACTAGTAGACCTCAGTTCACAGTAAATGCTAATACTACAATTTCACATATTTCCTAATGTATCATGCTCTACACAGTGCAAGGTGTATATATAAACATATACACATATATATATTTTAATAACAATAATACACAGTTAAAAATCTGAAGGTATTCTTTGTATAGGATGATACAAAGAGAAAAAGATGTAACCTTGAATGTATTCTTTTTTATGGTATAAACAAAATAAAACACCAAGAATTCCCTAAACCTCATAATAGTATGAAACAGTATTAACTATACATTTCTTTTTTACTCTATATCACGTTGTTACGACAGCGGAAGTCACGTGACGTGGTAACAGTAATGAGTATCTCGAACGTTCTTGAAGGCTCGAGTGTTTGCTAGACGCCCTCTATTTTGTATGTATAAGACCGGCGAGAAGTGACGGCATAAATAATTGAATAGCAGAAAGGGAGATAGAAACAGATAATCGAGTCAAGCCGTAAGTAAATTGTGTAAATCATTGTGAATTATAGCGTGCGTTTAAGTGACAGTGGAAATTAAGTGTATTGCAAAGTTGAGTTCAGAAAGAATAAACTAGTTTTATTTAAGAAAGGACTTGTATCGCTGAAGTTTCTCGGAAAGAATTTCTACGAAAAATTAACAAACTTAACAAACGAACGACCAAAGACGTAACAACGTGAATGATTTTATGTATAACACTGTAAATCAGAAAATATGGAAAAATAATTAATTTAAACTCAAGTATCAATATTTAGATTTAGGTTAAAAGTGCAAAAATGCAGCGTATATATGTACTTAAAGATCAATAAAAAAAGAGGTTTAAGATTTGAATAGTACATGACTTACTTGCAAAATATGACAATCGTAATGTCAATAGGCAGTACATATGGAAGAGACAGAAGTGACAGAAGTTTGACTGGTCGATGACAAAACAACCAGTTCATAATGCCTTTGTTAACCTGGTCACAGGCATCTTTAATTGCTGTTAGAAAATAAAGAAATTTTTAAGATTCTCATACAAGAAATAAGCTTTTTAACCAACAGTACATTAGTCCTCGCTTGCAAGAATTTCTGTTCCCTGCTGAACAAATACATTCACCATAACATTCACTATACATTCATAATGCCATAATCAACAACAACTTTCAAGAAGTAGAAACAATAGTAAAAATAACAGTATTATTTTTTAACAGGTACTGTCATTATACCACCTTGATGTCATAATCAACAAAAACTCTCAAGGAGTTGAAAAAATTGTAAAAATAACAGTATTCTTTCTGAATAGGTACTGAATAGTGTAGTTAGTGAATAATTAGTGTCAGTATAGCATATTTACTCTGTAATTAATAACGAGTGGCGATTAAAAACAAAATCAAACCTTTAAGTTTAGAGATAGCTGGAATGCAGAAAAAATTATTATAAGTTTAAAACTGTAAGAAACATACAACATTTCAATAAGGTGTCATCATTGTGTACCAGATGATAACAAAAGTTTGTTAAACTTGTAATAAAAGTGTTGTTGACTTCATTTTCAAGTGAGTGATTGTTAGTCTCAATATTGGTTTTTCATGAACAAATTAAAGTAAAAATAGTGTTTTACTTGTTTAGCTTATTAGTCTCATAGTATTAAATGTTACTTATTTTTATAGTAATATTAAAACAAATCTTTAATTTAATCAATTAATATAATATAATATTTATATTAATATAAAGTTGCTAAAGTAATAATACCTTTCACTACAGCTTCTGGAAGACTGTCCAGCAGCGCCACCTGTTGACGATAACGACAGTCCATACAACCATCATATAAATGTTCCGATTCATTTTCTGTACTAGAACTAAAAGCATCACTTTCTGTGAAGATATCAGATTCTGCCACAATAAAGCTGGACTGTACTTCTAAACATCTCATACAGGATATCATACCTAAAACAAACTAAAATGTTACCACGCTTTCACCACTTTAATATATTAACTACAAATTCAAATGTACTTTTAAAATACTCATACAGAATATTATATTGTTATGACAGCGGAAGTCACATGACCCTGGTAACAAGTCATGGGTTTCTAGAAGGATCATGACTTTTCCTGGCAACTCTAGTCTTTTCTAGGCGCCCTCTATTTTAGTATATAAGCCCGGCAAATAAAGCGGATATAATGGTTGCAGACAGATAGAGAGATAGAGACAAAAAATTGAGTCAAGTGAGTGGTAGTGACTGTAAGAAAGTGCGTGAATCGTTTTGAATTATACCGTATGTTTAAGTTAAAGTGACTGTGGAAATTCTTTGTATTGCAAATTTGTATTGAGAAAGACTAAACTAGTTTTATTTAAGAAAGGACTTGTATCGCTGAAGTTTCTCGGAAAGAATTTCTACGGGAGATTAACAAACAATCAGATACGTAACAAATTGGTGTCAGAGAGTGGGACGAAAAAAAGAAAAAGATGGAAACGAGAATCAAACTACAGCTTAGCAGATTTGATGGCAGCAATACAAGAACAGCAAAAGAAACAAGAAGAACGAGTAGAGCAGTTGTTGAAGGAAAAAGAAAAGAAACAAGAAGAGAAATTAGAGCAGTTGTTGAAGGAAAAAGAAAAGAAACAAGATGAGAAATTAC